AAAACAAGACAGCCAGAAAATGCTCTCAAACTAAAATCGGATTCATGTTTCAACGACTTTTTAGGACAGCCGAAGGCTAATCATTCGCCATTCTATACACTATTAGACCTAAGCTATTTCAGACATCACAATAATTTATTTAAAACAAATATTTAATCGGCATGTATAATTTATAGTAGTCGCCGTGGAAGTGGTGGTGGTCACTGGTGGAAGTAGAAAATGTAGTATTATAATGGTATCATTAGCAAGTAGTATAAAAACCACTTTGTTTATTTGTTTGATTTTATTTCTGCATTTTCAACATAAAAATACGTAATATACAAAGTAGGTATACATAATTAACACAAATTAAAACAAATATTAAAATCGTTTTATAGTTTCAATCAATTAAGTAATTATAGCTTTAAAAAAAAAACAGGCCTTGTTGACAAATCATTTCAAAATTAACAATGCAGGAGACCGCCATTATTCCAATACCGCAGATAATAATCATTATAAATCCTATGGCAGCATAATTTTTCATAGAAACGTGTTCAATGATAGCTTTGTTTTTTATTAAACATTGATTAGTTATCTTCCAATATTTCTGATAAGCAATTTTGAATATAAGATTATACATATAATGTGACACAAGTTTGATCAAAATTTACATTTTTATTAAAAAGACAGTCAAGGAGTGACCATGGACCGGTTGGCATAATCGCTTTGCCATTTTGTTTTCGAATCGAGAGTTAAGTTTTTATGGTAATGGTTTTTTGACTGTTGAACATCAGGTTTAGCGAAGATATCAAGGGTGGCCCACGGTCTCCCAACCGCCAAACGCTTAAGTGTGGAGCTAGGTTTATAAACTAACCAAATCATTCACAACTCAAGTTCATGGTTAGTGTTTTCATTTTTGATTCTTTTGAAATGAAATTACTGAGGTTTTGACCCCTAAATAGCTCAAATAAAACGGTATATAATTTGAAATAAAGTTGCCCAATATTCCATGAGTTAGAACGAGACTACAGTAGTTCTGTGACCAAAATGCGTATTGTTTTGCATCTCCCGTAATAATTTAATATTCATAACGTATAATTCATATCGATGCAAATTTGTAATATGTTTTGGTTCTGGGGAATCCCAACCTAACCATGGGGTGTTTCTTCGTCTGACGACACTCGGCATTGTGATGCTAATTAAGAGTACCCAACATCATTTTAACGTAATGCATGAGTTTAATGTATGTACAATGCGTTTGATTATTGCATTTCTAAGGTGCACAGACAGCATGAGAGGGTCATGAAGAGGGGGCTAGGGTAGTACAGACTTGGTATTTGGAGAGTTAGAATTTCTGAATTTTTGAGTTATCGAAACTTTGCCTTTTATAAAATATTTTAGAAAAAGCAAGCAATTTAGAGCATAATATGAATGAGGCTGGGTTTTGGTCGTTTTAGTACAGAACACGTGTACAGTGTTCAATATGGTAGGCACTTTTGTACCGTTGAATACTACTGAAATATATGCCTCTGCCTGGGGGCCGCCGTATCGACCAAGCGAAAAATTGTTCTGATAAAATTAGGATTTATTTTCAAGAGTCGACTTAAACACACAGGGAAATCTCAGCACATTTTAGAATTGTAATATGCAATAGATTGAAAACTATGCAAGACAAATATTAGGATGCCCCAAAAAACAAAAAACAAAAGATATAAAAAGTGTTTAAAACGGTCAAGGAATAGCCGTGGTCTGTAGGACGGCATCCTAACCGCCAGTTGTCAGTGTTTGTTTGTATCTATACTGGATTGACCAAGTTTCAAATCATGCTAATTTGACGGTTAAGTTTTTAAATAGCCGTGCAACTATGTCCTCCTGATTTAACATGTTTTATATTTTATAAACTTCTTTCCAGTCAACACAAAACAAAAATTGACTTAAAATCTACCCTAAATTCAGCCATTATAATGATTACTAGTAACTACTGTTTTGACGAAAGTACTTGAGAAATATGTTTCTGCTATAATAAAAACCATTTTTGAATTGAATTGAATTGAATAACGTAATAAGTCAGTATGTATATACCAAACTGAATATTCAGTGACTACCACCTGCACTCAATTTAAAAGACAGTCCAGGAATGACCAAGGTATATAACCTTCATTACGTTTACTGTGCGCCTAATTTCATTTAATGAGTAACGAATACAGATTCGCCATTCACTACAATAGGGGTGGACCGCGGTCTCCCAACTGCCAAACGCTATAGAGTGGTGATAGGTATTATAAACTGACCAAATCATCCACAACTCAAGATCATGGTTAGTGTTTTCAGTTTCGATTCTTTTGAAATGAAATTACTGCGGTTTTGACCCCTAAATAGCTCAAATAAAACTGTATAAAATTTGAAATAAAGTTGCCCAAGATTCCATGAGTTAAAACGAGAATATAGTAGTTTTGTGAATAAAATGTGTATTGGTCTGCATCTCCCATAATAAATTAATATTCATAACGCATAATTCATATCGATGCAAATTTCTAATATGTTCTGGCGAATCCCTATATACCTATCCATCCACTGAAATGGGGCGTTTCTTCGTCTGACGACACTCGGCATACCATTGTGATGCTAATTTAGAGTACCGACGTCATTTCAACGTATAGTTTAATGTATGTATAATGTGTTGGATTATTGCATTTCTAAGGTACATAGACAACATGACAGGGTCAGGAAGAGGGGGCTGGGGTAGTACAGACTGGATGTTTGGAGAGTTAAATGAGATATCCCCAGGATAAGGAATATCTGAATGTTTTAGATATTGGAACTTAGTCTTTTACAAAATATTTTAGAAAAAGCAAGCAATTTAGAGCATAATGATCAATTTATGAGACTGAGGCTGGGTTTTAGTCGTTTTAGTACAGAACATACCAATTAGTCTTTCCAGCAAACTTTGCCTTAATTCTGCATTACATTCATATAATACTCGAAGTTCTTCTAATTTTCATTTAAATAAAGTAAGACTAAATATAACCTTAAAAATCTACATTTTTGAAAGAGCCACAATTATTGTGGAATAATATACCTCATGATATAAAATCTAGTCCATCAATTAACGTAAAGGATATATAAATTATTTTAAATCCAACAAAATAAATAAAGAGTGATTCTGTACACGGTCAGGTTTTTGTTTTGTTTCTGTTCCCCCCTCTATTTAGGCTATAGTTTTTGTTTTTAAATTACTTTTTTAAACAACAATATTATATTACTGTTTCGGTGGCAGCACCAATAAAGTCTTTGGCTCTCATATCCGTCTCCACATTTATATGACATTTTTTGTTGTTGTTGTATTCTATTGTAAATGTTTCTCTTTAACTTGTACGCTATGTTTTTTATTTTGTATATGTTTGTTATGATGTTTTTATGATGAATCAAATAAAGATTAATTCAAATTCAAACATGTGTAGTATTTGAATAATGGCAACAAACAGACATTGTATTTTCCCTCGGTTTAAAACAGTCATAAAGCAGGGCATTTTTGGTAGAGATGCGACTCACAGTTACAGGGCTAATCGTGGTAGAGCATGAAAATGAGGAGCCGCTCTATTTTAAAAGTACCCCCCCCCCAAAAAAAAAATAAATAAATAAATAAAATAAAAATAAATAAATAAATAAATAAATAAATAAAAAAAAAAAAAAAAAAAAAAAAAAAAAAATAATAATAATAATAATAATAATAATAATAATAATAATAATAATAATAATAATAATAAAAATAAATAAATTAATAATTTTTTTTAAAAATACATAAATAAATAAATACATTTTTTTTTAATTATTAAAAAAAATTAATAAATGGAAAAATGAGAAGACAAAAATGGAGAAAAAACAACAAACAAATGAATGATTCAGTATCTCGACAAAAAAGGAAGAGGAGTTGAAGTGCTTCAAATCAGTTGTCTCGAGGCTGGAAAATTCATAAAATGCACTTGACCTTTTAGGAAATTCTGCCTGTAAAATATACTGGTCTTTGCCTGCAAGTTTATATATCAAATAACATTTGCTAAGCTTATAAGTGAAGTCCTTTCTTTCTCTATCCTTCAACGTACCCCACCGCCCCCTTCTTCTCTCTCTCTCTATCTCTCTCTCTCTCTATCTCTCTTTTTCTCTCTCGAATTATGTCAACTTGACGTAATTTGAAATTAGATAGCGTGATTTCGTGCCGGCGCCCCCCCCCCCCCCCCCCCCCGTTGCACTTGAGATAACAGCTATAGTAGCTATCCAATAGTTTACTTTTGTTAGATTATTGATATCGAACTCTCTTTGAATAAACACAATCAATAGTCCACGTATCACGTCAATTTTGATGAATCGTTCATTTATTTGAGAAGCAATTTCATTAGTGACTTTCTCACGCCCTTCCAATCCGCGCTGTCTGTAATGTATAGGATTCGTTTTCATAGCTGAAATGCCCTATTTCATGCTTTTCTATCGATTTTGTTGATGTTTTGCAATACCAACAATTTTATTCGTCAAGTCATCCTAGGCCTATCACTTACACCATGCCTGACATCATGCCTTAGAGAAACACAATTTATTAAAAACAAATCTCATCATGATAATAGTCAGTTGGAGGTATTAATTCTTTTACAAAGCCGTCTCACATCATTTATTACGATAATTTACAATCGCAGCCACCACATCCTCCTTCCCACACATTTAATTTGTGAATATTCAGGAAAGAGGTAAAAAATGGAATTTGTTATGAGTAATATATTTTATCCCTCTCTCTCTCTCTCTCTCTCTGTCTCTCTCTTTTCTTTACCCCTCTATACTGGCTTTGGTTTTGATATCGACTGGACCGTCTGTTTGCTTTTCAATAACCGTGCACCAATAAGAGACAGACAAACAGTAAACAATTAAATAAATACATTTTTTTTTATTACAATGCACCGATCCATGAACACACAATCATCCCACGTATTACGAACGCTCCGTTAAATTTGTGTTCCATAACACACGATACTGCGGTTTTTGCGGTGTTGCCATTAACGTGTTGAGTTGAAAATGGCGTCGTAAATGCACTAGTTACTGTAGTCAAAATGGCGGCTCGGTAAAACCGTTTCAGATTAAGTGTGTATTACTCAATTCGCGTGAACGAGATACTTCCTCATTTCATAGCCGAATTTAGATATTCACAAAGGTATGTTCTTGACTCATTGTACTAATGGCTATCATCATGATCATGTTTCCTATTTTGTAAGATATGATGGCATCCGTAAGCGAATAGCCTGTTGAGTATTATGTTTACGTTATCAAGGCATATTACTTATCTGTGTTAATTCATAAGATAGGCATTTTGATATTTGTTTATGATGCTATAATGATTTTTATCTAGGCCTATATACAGGACAGGGGTTTATTACAATTTCACATCTTATTATGCATGATATACCCTGTAATGCCTTTATAGGATGTAAATCACTTTATTTAACATGATTATTTCTATAAATAAGCGTTTGTAGAGTCTTTTAAGGCAAGTTTGAAGTATTTTTTGTTTAACAGTAATTTTATAGGGCAGTTTTTAATTATCTGTATTATTGCTGTATGTTTATTTTACGTTGTACCTTATGTTAAGCGCTTAGAAACATTGTATTAAGCGCTTAATAGATGTAAGTTATTATTATTATCATTATTATTATGTTGCATATTTGCAAAGCAGATTTCCAAAATTATCACACAGGGCTTAATAATAGCATGAATGATTATTGAAATGCAACGCATATATTGTCGTCTTATAATTTGGACATTACTTCCACATCCTTTCCTCTTTTTCTCATTCGTCTTTTATCTTCTCCTCTTCCTCCTTCATCTTTCTAAACAAGTGCCTGTGTCTACCACTTTTCATTTTGGCGGTATTTTATTCTATGAAACTAATGACCGATTTGTTTTTCCCCTTTAATTTTTTTCATATGATAAAAGTTATCATAAGCAGATAGAAAGATGGATGGGACAAGAGCTCTTCTAAGTATCATCTTGCTCTTGGCAGTATCACTGTCACTAGGTAAGAACAACATCACTTCTTTCAATTAGGTTAACTTTATCATTCTTGTCTGTATATTTTGTTTACTTACAGAACACATTGATGATTTTATTTATTCAAAGATATGTTATCTTTCATTATATTGCTTTAATAGCAGTTAAACTGTTTTCTTTCTTTGTTTTTCTTTTAGAAATGTAGAAAAGTTACATGATACTGTATTATTTGATTGCATATAAAATGTAAATACAAAACAAACAAGTTTTGAATTTAAATGTATTAACAAATTCATTATTAAAAAAAAATCTAGCCAAAGAATGGAACTAGGCTCGACTAGCACTTGTGCTAAATTCTAGTTCCCATTAACAACTTTACCTAAATATTAGTAATACACATATTTATGTGTATATCTTTTGCACATAGTATGCAGAGCTATGTCTAAATGTCGTTTTAAAACCGATATTGTTCAATCAACATTACTCTCATGTTATGTATACATGTATCAGTATTATTCTTTGTATTGTATGATTGTTCATAATATAATTGTACTGTCATTATTGTGATGTGTTGTTGTTAATAAATTCAAATTCAATTCAATTCAATTCAACATTTCTAGGATACATCTCCACCTGTATTTACCGTTTCCTTACAACTCTCTCGTCCTCATTCTTAGTTTCAAAGTGCCCAACATAGCAATACTTTCTGTATGAGCCTATATACAAGCTGACGTAACCATAATTCAATACATGCATTTATGATCGATAATGAAAACGTTAATTATTATAATATTAAAATATGTGGCGTCACCTGTTCAGGGAGGAGAAAAGCGATATGCATCGATCGGGCCTCTCCTTTATGTTGTTTGCAATAGTATATGAAGAAAAACAATATTAATCAAACATGATAAAGATAAAATAACATGAAAATGATACCAATATGATATTGGCTATGGCAAAGCGCTCATTATTACCCATAACTCATCGGGATCCAAGGAATTCCCTTTTCCACAGATATTCCTCCTGGGGGTTGTTTCACAAAGATCCTAAGTTGAACTTATCTCTAAGTTGGACTTAAAAATTATGGAAAGCCATTAGCATCTTTGAAAATATTTTGTAAAAGTTATTTTAAAAGGCATACAAATCATTAATATTTTCTATTATCAAGGAGATGACATGTTCTCGATGTGGAATTAATGTAAAGTGTAAAATAATTAAATTTTTGCTTTTGAATATATTTTATTTTATGGCTTCAAATGGCTCTCCATAATATTTAAGTCCAACTTAGAGTTAAGTTGGACTTAGGATTGTTTGTGAAACACCCCCGGTCTTACATAAGTTATACACTTGGGTGGAGAGAGTAAATGTAGTATCGGTGTCTTGCCAAGTGGCACGAACCCACGACCTTCTCCCCGCAAAACATTTTCATACCATTCGACTACAACCCCTCCGAGTCGTCCCTCTTTATACGATGAAGGTGTTTCTTATGTATATTGCTAAAGTTGATAAAGTAAAACTATGCACAAAGAAAGTAACATGAGTATAGAGAAGTCTATTCAAATTATATAGCACAACCTGTGTTTTTGTTATCCCGTCCGGAACAAAAAAAGTTGCTGTTAAGCTATACTCTAAACATGTATATATTATATCGGGGAAAATGTGCTAACTTTAAAACTACTCATCATGCATTAGGCTGATTCATCATCCTTTTTGTTAAAGATAAAGACCAGTTATGGTCATGCGATTGCATTGTGAAAGAAACGTTGTGAAATCGATCAGAAAAGGTTGATCATCTAGCATAGATGTACTGCAAGGTTCTGGTATCATCAAAATGATAAGAAATGTGGCCCAGTCTTCATAAAGTTACAAGCACTGTACTCAGAAAGATGTATATGGGACTACGCACACTTGTGCGACACGTGCGTTTTTATCTCTCACATGATGATAGATAAACTAATTTACCAAATATATCAATTAGTAGGCGGTTTCCCGGCAAAATTTTTATCATCATGAATTATTCAAAACATATTCTTTCACATGATTGGTAATAAGAGCTTTCATTTCATTTTTTGAAATTTGGGCGTTTCCAATACTGGTCTTTACCTTTAAGTTGTTTTTGGTTTTCATTTGTGTATCCTAGTTTCAGGTGATGTTCTGAGCATGGGAACGATGATTGATTGGGAAGATGAAAGCACACACTCCATCTTTGATGTCATGACTAGATTCAATCTATATGGTTGTTATTGTGGATTCGGTGGACAAGGTGTCCCTGTTGACAAGATTGACTGGTGAAGACATACTTTGTTATTTATTATACCAAGCTACTATTCTTAAAGGGGAAGTACACCCTGAAATTAAGTTAGTTTTAATAGGAGTAGAAAAATGAGAGAAACAAGTCAGTGAAAGTTTGAGCAAATTCCGATTAAAAATAAGGAAGTTAGGATTTTTGAAGTTGTGATCAATCAAACACAAATTGGCAACTCTATGACGTATCATGCGAGCTCAACTTTCATTTGCTCAGTACTAAAAAAATCTAAAATTTTCATTTTCCCTCAAGAAAAATTTCAAGCATACATGAACCCTAAATATAATAATTGCAAATATGTTTCTATACTCCCCCTGCAAGGAACAAATATATATTCCGTCATCAATAACGAAGAAAACATGATTTTATGGAATATTATGCACAAAGCTAATGAAGGAGAGCTCGTATAATAAGTCACAGAGTTGCCGATTTGTATTTGATTGATCACAACTTCAATAATTCATAACTTTCTTATTTTCATTCAGAATTTGCTCAAACTTTCACTCACCTGATTTTCTTATTATTCTGCCTCTATCAAAACAAACTTATTTTGGGGTTGGACTTTCCCTTTAAACAATTTCATGTTGAAAGTAAGTTGATTGAAAAACAAAGACTCGGAGAAATATTTCTCTGAAAAAATAATAATGGAAATGTTTTTATGGCTTTGTCTGTTTTCGTACATCATAATTTATGAAACATAAATTAGTTCCATCATTGCTACCAAACTTATCTCAGGTATAAGATTCTGTATGTCTATTTTCGCAAATGTTAATTATTATAAAACGAGTAGTCACATTTTTGAAAAACTCATGAAGTTGTCAGGTCTCAAATAAACAGAAATGTATTTTTTGAATACTGATTTTTTTAATTTTTTTATCCCATTCAATGTAAATATTATACAGTAATACAGTTGATGTTAAAGTTTAACCGTAATAACTTTAATTCTCATGGATGTGGGAAATATTTTTAGATTAGCTTCCTCTAGCATATGAGTAGCTAACAGGACACTAACGTGCCCCCCCCCAGATCGCCACTATTGGTGCATATCATCTCTGAGGAAAACCTCATTGATAATCCTGTTTCGGTAGTGTTTCAATGAATCATCCCCGCAAATATAGATCGTTACAAATAACCTAAACTAATCCTTTGTTCTCGTTGTTGTGTTAAAGTTGTTGTCGGGACCATGATGAATGCTATGATAACCTAGCAAAAGATGGGACCTGTCTCAGTGGAGATACAGGAGTGGGCAAGGTCTACAAATACACCAAGGTTAACAACGATGGCAAACACACTGTCCAGTGTAGTAAGTAATTTATTCCTTTTCCCAGCTTTTCTTTCTTCATTCTTCTTTCTCCTATTTTCTCTACTTTGAACTGTCCTTTAATGATATAACAGTCGGGCAAAATACAAATGTTTTTCTTTATGAATATATCTATGTTACATGCTTTGAACACACCACCACCACCACCACCACCACCAGCACTCTCATCATCATGATCATCGTTGTCGTCATCAATATCAACAACAACAATAACATTATCATCACCATCATCACAATCATCATCACCATCATCATCATCATCATCATCACTATCATATTTATCATCATCGTCATCGTCATCAGTACAATATAATCATTTAATCATGAACGTTATTTAGCAACTTCACAATCATGAAATAATTAAAAACTCAAAATCGTTATAAATTATGTTTATTCACGTCCAACTTTTATATAATGTTTTTCTGGATTCTTCTTTTCAAACAGGATTCCTTTTTAACTGAAGGATAACTTAACACTTTTCTTTTCTTTTAGAGCCCAGTTCAGACACGTGTGCAGAGAAGATATGTGCATGTGACAAGGCCTTGGCAGAGTGCTTCTCTACAAATGAACCATACTATAACAGCGCTAACAGGAATTACAATAGAGGTAGATTGTGCGGTAAACAAATGGCAAAATCCTGTCCAAATTTCAACTAGAAACCGTATTACCCAGGAGGAAAGATTTTCCAGTAAAGATCTTCTTGCAAAAGATTTTTTTTTTCATTTGGGATAAAACTGGATTGGTAGAGGTAATTTTTTTTCTCCAACCTAGTGCATCCCTTTTCAAAAGTCTACAACTCAAAACCGTCAAACTTACGGTGATGAAAACACTGAATGATAAGAATCTATTTTCAAATAGTGTTTGAGGAAGATGTGTTTAGTTCAATCATCACATCTTCATCATGTTCTCAGTATAGAAATTTCAGAATGTCGAGAGGTGTACAGCCTCCATGGGTCACGATAGGGTAGGTACAGGGCCATTTATACATAGAGTTTGGCCAATCCGGTTCGACTTGGGCATATTATGACGAATAAAGCTTTGTTGGACAAATTACTATATAACACAGAAGTATATGCGTCATGTTTTAACCAACTGAATACAAGTTGTCCGAACTTTGTGTATAGATGGCTCTGGTTGAGTAATTGTAACATTGCCCTCTGACGGTGAAATACGTTGGTGTAAGGATTCGTTCACACATGCCATGGCACAATGTGAATGTGAACAAACCTGTAATCGTGTTATTCTTATTCCAATTTGTCATGACCTGCTAGGCTGATCATTTTCACTCGAAGTAGAGAATTATTGGTCGATTATAATATACGGGCCTACTAATACTATGCCAAGTATTTTGTTTATGCTGGATGCCATTTTTTTTAAAAGTGAAATCCAAATCTAGTTGAAATTGAAGGTATGGGCTATTTCAATTGGCTGAATCGGTAATGTCTCCGCGATGTTATGGCGGCAAACTTTCCATTTGTTCAAACGCAAAAGTGACTAAATTTCCAATTTAAAAAAAATGTGTGACTTGGGATGTTTTTGTATTGGTTTTGTAGAGGGCCTACAATAGTATACTCTCCATACTATATTGGGTAGTACCCCACGGGTGAAGGCACACAGGAGAAAAATTGAAATTAGTGATATTTCGTACTACAAACGGGGGGCACTGTGTCGCAGTCCATTGTCCAAACTTTCATGATTTTGCTTCCCTGATCTTTTTGTTTTCATTCAAATGAACTTGTTAAAAATATTGGATTTCCCTTTAAGATCTATTATTGTATTAAACCATTTGAATATTCTCACATGAACCGTTCTTTACCGTCTATTACAGCTAGTAACCAGTTAAAATATTATGATTAAGTACTGTATAACTGGCGTAGAGATTACCTCACTGAAGATTACTTAAATTTAGTAGAATTTCTTAGCTTTTCTGAATCAGTACTTCCTGTATAATTATGATGGTTTAGTTTCTCCAATCGTTATTCAGAGAAGACGGTAAATGGAAATATTCAGTACGATGATTAATCAGCTGTAAACTTATCGCATACTTTGCATTTTTGGAAAACATATTTAACATGTAGAAGAGAGACAGTTAACGATTGGTTGATTTGGGTTTAGTGCTTTCTGTTTTTGTTGTTCATTAATTTATTCTGATATACTTTGCTGTGAAATTAGTTGTTATATTCTTCTTATTTGTCCATACTGTAAGACTCGCTTAATCTCAACGAAACTAAGAAAATATTTCATCTCACTCAAATTTGTGTGTGAGCTTTACATCGATTTCTTCCACCGGTCCCTCGGAGAGGACCTAAAGCCGTTGGTCTTCTGGTTGCTTACTAACAAGCATTTATTGCTTTCTTAGCAGTCAGGTAAAATAACCACCACCACCACGATATTTCTATAAAGTACTTATATATTACCATACATATATTTATGTGTGTGTAAGACTGATGAAGTGTGTTTGATGTATTCATCTCGGTCTAAAATATTTAAGTGAGGTAGATTTTATCAATTATTTATATCACCTTGATTTAGAGTAATTCATTTGAACTCATTTCACCTTTATGTTATATAGAAACAGAATATCCACCATTCTCATTCAGTGTAGCAGTACTAATAATGCAGTAATTTAGGTTTAATTAAGACAAAAGTTTTTGATTTGTAAACCCATGTTGAAGGTAAAGTAAATGTATTCAGTCATATTATTGCTTTACAATGTAAGCGTTGAATTATTATTGTTCTTCTTCTTCTTCTTCTTCTTCTTCTTCTTCTTCTCCTTCCTCTTTTTCTTCTTCTACTTCGTATTATTATTATTATCATAATCATAATCATTACATGATCATCATAATCATTTTCAATGAGTATGAGCAAGCTCACATGGCGTATGTTACGTGTACCACATGAATGTATATTTTGCAACAGACTTTATCTCAATATAGATTATCTTTTCTCATTTCAACTTATATGGTTCATGGATTTATTTCTTCTAGACTGTAATGAAGATTAAAGATTTAAGTATGTTACCAGATATTGATTTAACAGGGGCCAAACTCTACTTGGACTGCCGATGCCGAGGGGGGGGGGGGGGGGGGGGGGGGGGGTCCTAAAATTGTTAATATATTGCAGCCATTTACCTACAATGTAAACCACCTAATTTATTGATAGTACTGGGAATTCCTTTTTTGTTAATGTTGTTCTTGGCCTTCAAATGCAAAGAACAAAACTATATGGTGGATACGTCATTAGAAGATGAAAGTGGAAGTGTGAAGATCGATACAAAGGTGGAGAATATATCATCTATACTCATAACAAACAGACAGAGACATTGATAGAAAGTGAGAGAGAGGGGGAGAAAAAGTGTGTGTGTGTGTGTGTGTATGTGTGTGAGAGAGAGAGAGAGAGAGAGGGGGGTAGAGATAGAGAGAGAGAGAGAGGGAGAGAGAGAGAGGGGGGAGGGGAGGTTATGAGAGAATGATAAAGAGCGGGATCAGGACTGAAAGGAAACTTCATAAGTGTAACAATTTGAAAAATACCATCTTTAAAAGGGTAAAACTCTTGTGATAAGAAGCGGAACAATAATGTTTAGTTACATTTCAACAAAATTCTTCGCATTGTAGATTACAAAGAAATATGACACAATATTTTCATAGAAAAAACAGCATCGCTGCAAAAGACCGTGTACATACAGTTTGATGTGGCTCATAATAACAATATTGATTGACGTTCATAAACTTTCCTGCAAAATGATCTTCTAAAATTAGATGAAAGAAAGGCTCTTCAACGATGACAGGGCTAGGGTGCGATAATTTCATTTTATAAATCATAGTCATATCACATGGCGTCATGATTGCATATGGACAACGGCTACATTATTTTCGTTGAGTCATCACAAAATAATACAACATGAATCTATATTACGAGGTGTCACAGACTTTGTCATTAGAATAAATAATCTTAATTATATATAATCCATGCCGCGGTACTAATGCTTATCAGGATTTTCTTGCTAATCTTGAAGTTAATCCGGTAGCAAAACAAAGGAGAACGAAATGGAACCTATAACATAACATAACATAACTTTATTGTGCAAAAAGAGACATGTAATACATTTAAATAATGCTAATTGCTAATGTTCCGTCAGTCAACGATTTCCCAAGACATTTAGAGTAAGTTCCTGAAAGAAAGGCCCCAAAAAGTTCAACATTAATCTATTTTCTTGAGTCATGTGGCTGTGCATAGCGCTAATACAGTATAAGCTATAGCAAAAACAATTAATTTGGTCTTATTTACCCCGGATAGCCTCATCCCTACCTTGCTTTTCTCGCGAGCCCTGCAATAATTATTATATGATCATACAGACAGTGGGGATCTAGGGGGTTCGGCGGTTGAACCCCCCCCCCCCCCTGGGCGGCCAAGTGAGAGAGAAAAAAAGAGGGGAAAAAGAAAAAAAAATAACGGTGCGATTTTTGAAAAATCCTGGATCCGCCACTGGGTCCAACCCCCCCTCCTCCCCCCCCCCCCCCCCCCCCCCCCCCCCCCCCCCCCCCCCCCCTGGCAAAAAGTTAGATCCGCCCCTGACAGGTACCTAGTAGGACATACACCGTGGTATAGAGAGGGACAAATGCGGGCAAAACACCTTGTCCAAGGATGTAATAACCAAATCATACACGTATATAAGGCGTTTAGGAATCCAAGAAATATCTTCCTACCGGTTCTCATTTAACCCACCTGAGTTGAGTGAAGCAATCGATGTACACGTACGTACATGAATGTCGTTTTAAGGGATCGCTAGTGACGTGGCATATTGGACCCGGACTCCACTGATACTTTACTTGCGATCCAAAGTCCGGTGACATACTAGATTAAAGCACACCCCATGCACATAATGGTTCTATTAAGTATTAAATGTTACCCTCGCAGGGGTGCGAAAAATGAGAAATATTAACCATTTAATGTTTTAAGCCCCACTGTCCTACTTGTAGCTACTAATTGCTCCCTCTATATAGAAAAATTCCCAAATCCGTGCCTGTTGGTCCCCCATGATCCTCTTTTTCTTATGTTAGTTGAGAGCCGAGTTAATGAGATAGCAACCTGTCAGTGACCTCGCTGTGTGGTCTAATCCCTTCTGGCCCAGTAGTGTTGACGGTCTTTAATTCTTGTTCTTATTCCTGTTAGTTTGTCTACTTTGCTTTGCTTTAATCCTTCGATTATCAACAAAATTACTTTGTCAAGTTTGTGGTAATAGAAAGTTTAAAGACAATCAAATTCCGTTTTCAGTGAAATGTCATGCGGACTACAATTGTGCGTGTGAGGCAGGGCTGTAAAAGCGAAATGGTAAACAAGCTGTCCCGCGATCATACATCCCAGGGAATCGAAAGTTTAAACACAATCGAATTCCGTTTTCAGTGAAATGTTATTCTGACTACAATCATGTGAGGCAGGCTAAAAGCGAAATGGTAAACAAGCTGTCACGTGATCATACATCCCCGGGGATGTATGGATGGTGTCAAGAAACTTTCACTTTGGGTGAACAAACTTTCTATGAAGTCAATGCCATGGTAAGGTAAGACCATATGGACCCTACGCATCGTATGTGACAAGCAATGAACCCTGTGTTAGATATATATATCAAACATTTGTTATCTTCAATTGAGTTGTCATTGAGATAAGTGTATATTTGAGGAGTGGGGTTGTTCGAGGGTCATGGTCTGGTAAATGATAAGAGTATATGTCATCTGACAGCAAGTCAGTTCTTCAACATTATCAAGTTGATTGTGTTTTTATATTATTCCTGCTGGTATGGCGACAGGAAATAAGAGGAATAACAACAGGGCCGATAATTATTGTGACAATCTATACATCCCTTTTTATATCTCCTGAAAACAATAATAGTTGGAGGATTTTTTATTATACAAAATAATACACAGCATTAGGACATTAGTAACAATTACCCACACGAGGTACACTAATTGGAACAGTCTAATCGAGGGTTTTAGGACTGTTTTGAAGGTACCGAGTGTGAGTAATTTTACTAATGCCCGAACAGAATGTGTATTATTTCTTTTATAAGATGATCTTTTATTTGTTTTATGAAATAAAGTTATATAACATGATTTTGATAATGACCGGTCATTACCATTGGATAATGACCAGTCATTATCCAAATTACGCGTTAGGCAAAATAAATGCCTGGTTACGTGTACGCTTTCAACCAATCATTTGATTAGGATCCACGTCATCATCTTTCTGTATGAACATCATTAGTAACTGCCACATGCTTGCATATTTGCTTACCATAGGAGATCATGGATCTCATACAGATACTAAAACTATAAAAACAACTTTCTTTGATATACTCCTTAAAAACAACAATCAGTTAATCAATGATTCATGAAACGCGTCCCTTACCCCTCTCCTTTGAAAGTTGAAAACAGATATGATAACGAAATTCATTATCTTTGCATCTATAGACTGGACTTGAATCCATGCATGGTTAGAGGTATAGCTATATTAGTTTGGAATATCGTCCGACCTTTAATCATAATCCTAACCCTAACCCTAACCCTATACCAGTTTGAAATAGTGTCTAACCAAAACCCTAACCAAGTTAGCAAAATAATTCCAACTATATAGCAACAAACAAAAAACGAGGTCATTAATTTCAGCTATAAGTTTAAAAGGAAGTGTCCTTCTCTTTCAGCGATAAATGTATACCTCCTGAAAACCAGAAAAACCACAATAGCATGCATGTCAGCTTTCAGTATTGAACCGAAACTAGTTTTAGGTCACAAACTTTTTCAGATAGGAGTCAACACCAGCCAGGCAGGCAGGCAGGCAGCAAGTATTCATCTCTCGGTCCCATTGTCCCTCCTCTGCCTCACTGCTTCCACACATAGATTAGCAGCGCTGCGTATACTGGGTAAGTTAACAATTCAGGCAATGACGTATTATATTGTGTTTTCTGTGCGTTTCTATGTGAGGTATAAAACGTATCGAGATGAAAAGAGAGAGAGAGAGAGAGTTAGCTTTAAAATGGCGTCAACGTAGATATTGCACGGTGACGCTATTTTCAATTCATAGTGAAGCGTGAACAATTTGCCCATCGATTCAGGTAACTGTTTTTTACATTTGATATATACGTTTATTATGTTTCATCTACTTGGACTTAGTTTTGTTTATATATAGTTCGTGTAATTTTATGAGATTCCATGTGTTTAGGTACCGGGTGATGACATCTTTGTTGCTGGTATCTCTTTGTTTATACATAATACACCCGGATATATATTCATGCATTTGCCAAATGACTGTGATAACGGCTAATAAGCAGATTCGCTCTAGAAAACTGGTATTTAGGTGAGCTGATCTGACGTGCAGTATAGGCTTTTATGTACGGGTAGCATCTTTATGAATTATATATGTTCCTAAATTAGTTCTCAATTCATTCTAATATCATGTTTATATGTTGTAGTGCGTATACTGTACTGTTCGACAATTCTCTTCGATATGTTTCATTTCGATTCAGTTTATGTTCACGAGTATTGAACGAGGGGTTGGCATGAATATCAAAATAAAGAGAGATAAATTAAAGAGTATGAATCAAAGGGTTTATTATATATATATATATATATATATATATATATATATATATAGATTAAGCGTGTACATAATGATAATACAATATTGTTCTTCATGGTTTAAAGAGAAAGTTGAGTTCTGGGGAGAGGTGAAAAATAATTTGTGAGCGTTCTCATTGCTATTATGCAAGTGTGGAAACATCAGAGAACAAAATGTTCCCTGAAAAGCATGGCTCTTTAAATGCCGTCATATTTATAAGTGAAGAAACAGCATAAAAATGAGACCCGATTTTTATGCCACTTTTTTATAGTCCCATATATATATATCTGTCTGTGTACAGTGCTTGTTAGTTACTTTGCCGAGACCGGGCCAGATTTCTAATCAGTTTGATGACTCCAGAACATCAGCTGGTACGGAGAGGGCTCATTCTCAAATTCAAGTTTTAAAAAATATATTTCATACAATTTTCACGACCACGTACTGTAAAGTTTGACACAGTATATTCTAACAATGATAAATATAATGGCAGGTATGTTATTTTGAACTTTGAAATATACATCTTTAACACAATTTTAAAAGCCAAACGCAGCGGACTGTTCTAAAATTTTCGTAGAAATTTCCAAGGTGTAGGTTTTAGGTAGGAAACATAAAACTAAACCCTTTGCAATCTTTTCTTTGCATGTTGAAATATTTGCTTCGTTTGCTACGGTAAACCATTATCATTGTAGAGGTTGAATGTTTCGTCAAACAAGTCAAATAATTACGTAACATGGACTCAAATAGAAGAATGTAATGAGTGACCTCCTCTCTCTCACTGAGAAAGAGAGATCCGATAGATGGTAGGTCAAAATGAACAGAGAGGAAGATTATGAGAGAGAGAGAGACAGACTGACAGACAGACTGACAGATAGATAGACTGAAAGAGAAAGGGAAGGAGAGAGCGAGATAGAGAGAGATGGGAGGGGGGCAGGGTAAGATTCAACACGATGCCCTTCATTTTTTAAAGTGTTTTTATTCAAGCGTTATTGTATATAATCCTATATTTGACAATGCCCTCGTTGGCAAACCGCAAACCTCCCTCCAAAAATAAATGAATAAATAACGATGATAAGGAATAACATATATACTGTCCTATTTCTGTAATGGAAAAACTCACAGTGATATTTTAAACTGTAATATTATAAACAAACAATAAAACAAGCACCATTCAATTACAGATGATAACTGTGTCTGGAACGCGCATACAAAATGTTGTTTTATAAATAAACTTAAATCCTGATCGAGATCAAATTTGAATGACCTCAATCATGTCGAGATTGCAGGGATGGGTGCAATGTTCTGATAATGAAATGATAAAATAAACAATAGCTATTTTTATTGTCTCTGAATACGTGACTGCCTGTAGATCGATGTATTCGATGTTATGTACGTCTTTTGGGTGGATAAAGCATAGACATGATAAAGGATATTTAAACATGAAATTTTAGTTTATTTGTCCTATATTCAAAATCTCTTGTGGAACTTGTTAGTATCATACAGAATGTAAATTGCCATGCAGATACAGAAAAGGTGTATTTATCTCCAAAATCTGGAGTACAGAAGCGTTTTTTTTAATTTTTCTACAAACCACATGAATATCCTATTCAAGAGCAAATGAAGAATAAGATATATTACCCTTTTACAGTGGTTGATTTACTCTGAGCTATGATATGAAATAGCATATTTTGATAACCCCCCCCCCAAAAAAAAGAAAACAAAACAAACATGTACATAATTTATATTCTTCTTCATGTGAGGTCATGTCATGTGTGCTGCTACAGCATACATTATATTTTCTGCTTCAAGCCAGGATATTACATCGTTTGATCCGTGTGAGCTTTTCACATAATTTATTATTTGTTTATATTTGACTACTTTTTCACTACCGTTGCTAGATACTTATTGATGATTTATGAATCGAATAAAATGATATATATGCGGCAACCTGCTAAGAAGCCCTCTGTTGATATTCTAGTTTCCATAGCAACAAGTTGTGGCGGGAAGGTGTTGCGTACATTATTGATCACTCCTGCGATGTGTGTGGATTGTAGCTAGTGCTTATTGTAGGCCTACAGACGGACGTGGAGATGAAGAAGATAATCCTCAAAACCTTCATCCCGTTCTTAGTAGCAATAATCTACCTTTTGGTGGTTCTTTCTATAATGATCAACCTTCCATTGAAATTCCTAGAGCGCTCTTTTTTCCTTCGATTTTTAAGTCCAAACCGGATATTCTATCCTTGGCGATCTACTTAGCTGACAGGTGGATGCATGTGTAATACATGTATTACCTTGTGGTCTGTTTACCTTCAAGGCACAGACCCTTTCCAGTCAGAACACGCAAAGAATGGTCTGAACGGTGTGACTGTAGGCTACACTCTGTACAAAATAGCTGTTCATCTTATTTGACATAGCCAGACTTAACACAGTTAGGCTAGGCTCAAGGCTTCATGGAATATTATGAAGCATGAAATAGAGTACGAGGCTCCAAACGTGCAGATTAATAATAATAATAATAATAATAATAATAATAATAATAATAGGCATTTCTATAGCGCCGTCTATCTAGAAATTCTATTCCGAGGCGCATTTTTAAAAAATTATTACCCCGGCTTTAGCCTAGCTGCCGTTACAGCGCTCCAGCATTTCAATTTCAAAAATTAATTCCTGCCAGGTACGCATTTACATCACCTGGGTTGAGTGTGGCAAATGTAGATCATTGTCTTGCCAAAGGACATTAGTGCCGCGGCGGGACTCGAACCGGGGACCCTGTGATCGACAGTCCGGCGACGTATCCACTCGACCACCACACCTCTAATCTGTTGAGATAGTAATAGTAGGTGAGAAAAAATAACTTGCTCATTTGCGTTATAGTCTTTTATAATTTGTATTTTTATTTCATTTTCTTCATAGATCACCATGGAACGGTTGGGTTTATTCGTGTTCGTCGCGCTGTCATTGATGTGTATTTCAACAGGTGAGTAGCTCTCTATGACATCATCCTACTTCATGAGATGAGAGAGAGAGAGAAAGAGAGAGAGAGAGAGAGAGAGAAAGAGAGACAGAGAGAGAGAGAGAGAGAGAGAGGGGGGGGGAAGAAGGGCGTGGGAAGAAGAGGAGGAAGAGGTGGAGTGGGGAATTGAAGAGGGTGTGAGAGAGATAAGGAGAGGTATGGTTTATTCTCAATTTGCTATAAATACAAGGTGAGGGAGAAGGAAAGATGGGAAGAGAGAAAGAAAGAGAGAAGTCGTGGAACACAAAATAAAATGTAAAGAAAGAATTTGGAGGAGATTTTAAAATTGTCAAAAGAAATGATAAATAATATAACCGTGTATCGTAAAAGAAGACATCTGTTTTAAAAGATGAGTTATTGTTTTCCTCCTCTTATTATCAGTGGAATGTAGCGACATGGACATTGGCCGAATGATACAATGGGTAGATGCTAAGGTAGGCTGGCTCATCAGTGCTCGCAAGTTCCAGAACTATGGATGCTACTGCAGTAAGAACGGTCCTACTGATGGAATCGTGCCGGTGGATCAGATTGATAAGTGAGTAATGAATAGTTACAGTCTGACTAAAGACTACAGAGTCAGTCCATTTAAAATTATTTAAAATTATTAAAAAACTTGAATTCGGCGTAAATATTCATAATTGAATGACACACGCCCTTAAAACTAAAACAACAACAACAACAACGTAGACTACTAGTATCACCTTGGGAGTGTTTCACAAAGATCATAAGTCGAATGTTAACTCTAAGTTGGACTTAAAAATTATGGACTGCCATTTGTAGCCTTAAAATAAAATATATTCAAAAGCGAAAATTCGATTTTTTTTAGACTTTTCATTAATTCCACTTCAAAAACATGTCATCTCCTTGAAAGTAGAAAATATGATTGATTTAAATTTAAAAAAAAATTGCCTTCTAAATAACTTTTGCAGAATATTTTCCAAGATGCTAACGGCTTTCCATAATTGTTAAGTCCAACTTAGAATCTTTGTGAAACACCCCCTTGTCTGCTTGCACTGACGTGGGTGAACATTCTCATCTCCTCGTCTATCATTGTTCGGATGATAATGATTATGATGATCATGATGAGAACAATGATGCTATTTTGGAAACTTACCGGGAGAGACCCATCAGAAAAAGCAATAATGGGACCAATACTCTATAACCCTCCCCCCCCCCCCCCTCCTTCTCCCCCTCCTCACATGTTTGCCCTTCCCTGGGTGTGCCTATATAAGCGGTGTCTTTTGATTTGCCTGATTGTGCCTATAAGTGGGGTCTTTTGAAGTCAAAGCCCTGTAGATATTTAACCAACATCTACTTTTTTGAACCCCAGAATCAAGGATCAAAGTCTAATCCATTGTTCAGTAACTTACCGATTATTAAAGGGTGACTGGAAAGTCGAAATACAGAACGACAATAATGCAAAAAGTTTACTCTGTCTCTGCACATATAGGACGAATGCAATCCTTATTTTTGAATAGGTATGTGACAACTAGCAAACATTAAATACGGCTAGGGATTTAGAGTTTAAATATCATATATGATTTATTATTGTACAATGAAACCTGTGTGTAATAAGACTGCCCAAGGGAGAGAAGAAAATGGCCGGTATGTACAGGTTTATTTAGTGCATGTTTGAATAAGAAATGATTAATGTTCCTTAAGAGGCAGGAGGTCTTTCTATGGTCGCTAAAAAAAGGTTTGACTGGTATTGCAGACGGCATTGATGTGTTATTTTTTCCAACATGTAGAAACTATCCTGTACTTTAATATAATGAGAATTCCTACACACGTTTGTGTAATATTCCATACGTTCATTGGTTTTTCTTGCAGCCATTGTTTTTAATATTCAGCTTTTTAATTGTGTTAAGATTGTAGAGGTTCTCAAACCTCAGCATACATAATTCTTTTTGTCACATAGTCAATCCATGCCAAAGCTTTAAAGACCGTCAATACTACTGGGCCAGAAGGGATTAGACCACACAGCGAGGTCACTGACAGGTGGCTATCTCATTAACTCAGCTCTCAACTAACATAAGAAAAAGAGGATCATGGGGGACCAACAGGCACCGATTGGGGAAGATTTCTATATAGAGGGAGCAAGTAGCTACAAGTAGGACAGTGGGGCTTTAACATCTTTCGAAATACAATGCTAATATGGAATACGTTTATAATATATACTAAATACTATCAACGTTTTACACGTTTTAAGGTCATGACCCCAATATTCCGTTCATTGTACTTTGATCTGATATAACCGCTAACCAATAACTGAAACATAAAGATAAAGATGACATTGAAGATAATAATGGGATGTTTACTCTGATGGTTATTTTTAATATACATTACGGGTGATGTGCAAGCACGATCTACTATCTATACGGCTCATGGTAAGCAGGCTGTGTTGATTACAGAGATGCGATAATGATAATCATGATATAATAATTGGGTCTCATTTACCCAGGCCCAGGGTAGCCACATCAGTATCCATACCGGTACTGCTCTTCCTACGAGCCCCGGGGAGTGTTTCACAAAGGATTACCGGTAGAACGACTTTAAGTTAGACTTAACTATGGCAGGCTGTTCATGCCACTAGTTGCTCTCACGGTTATTATGATTCTTAGATAATATTTTTTCCTTTAATAATGAAATATCAAAAAAAAAATTCTGTAGATTTGTGACCACTATTTGTACGTCCCTTGATAGACCAATGCCAGTAAATGGTGAGAGCAAACAGTGGCATGAACGGCCTGACATAGTTAAGTCCAACTTAAAGTTGATCTTAGTATTTGTGAAACACTCCCAGTATGTATTAGTACCCCCAGCATATGTCAGGTATCCATTTACTCCTGTGTAGAGAGTTGTATAGGGTGGATTTAATGTCTTACCAAAGGAAATCAGTGCCGTGCTGGGCTTCGAACCCTCAACTCTCGGATTGGTAGACAATTAATGAACTACCGTACAACTACACCTCCACATCCTGAGATAACGATGGCAAAATAAAGCAAATGGAATAATTGTTTGCTTTAAACTTCAAATAGCCTATATCTTATGTCCAATGATTCAGAATATCCGATCTAACACATTCTTAATTTGTTTTAATCGATGTACTTTGCCTATTTATCATTTTAACTAAGATAATAGGCCTATTATCTTATTAGCAGTCTTATTAAAAAAAAAAAATCTTCTTGATACTCGCAGTGGAAAATTTCAAGCAAAAAGTAATCACTAAATGCGCTGAAACATAGATTTACATCTTTTGTGATTTTTTTGTTTTTTTAAGTGTGTTTCTGAAACTCAATCCGTAATTTCTATCGAAACTCATCTTATTGAGAAAGATATTTGAATCCGTTGGTGGTTATGTTTCACCTTTATTCTTCCTTCTCGGGACATATTGAGCTTGCTTTACTTCCTAGCTCTCAAACAGTTTAATACAAGTCCGATTAACACAGATGTATACAACGGAAAGGCGAATATATCTGTTTCTAGTTCGATTCAATAACAGGAAGTCACTTGATTTATTTCTCTACCAAAGTTTGTTGACCTTGCCTACAATGAGTGTACCTCTACAGAGGTCTCATGAATTGTATTGTATTCAAATTCAACCTTGCCATTGCGTTTATGATCATGAGTGCTCTACAATTTTACAAAATAGCATTTCGCCATGACCTCAGTTTGAAAAAGCTATCCAATCCCAATCCACCTTGTCGTAAATTCAGACGTTGATCTCAAATTCATTGTGATTTGCGAATTGTTATCCCCCCACCCTAAAACGTGATTTTTGTTTATTGAGTCCCAACAACGTAAATCTAAATCTGAATAGTAATGATTTTTTTTTTAAAAATTTTAGACATCATTTCGTTGTGTGATTTAAAGCATACTCAACGAATACGTCAGAATCTTTCGTGACAAACAGATATCACAAGAATCTGAAAATTCTCTGACTGGGGAAAAAAAGCAACAACAAAAGTTGTTAAATTACTGCCGGGGAGGCACAATGACGGGGGAACACTTTTATTGTGCACTTACTATGTACTTAACTACTTATGGTACGACATCAGTATTGGGCTGGTCGGAGGGAAATGCCCCCCTCCCCCATCCCAACCCCACCCAAATCCACAAATGGTTTGGTTTCGTGTTCTCTCTCAAATATTTGTTATGGGTTAATGGTTGTCGTAAAAAATATTATTCGGCACTGAAAATCGATTTGACTCACAAAATAACACAAACCATGTTAATAAAAAAACAGGAAATTCGCGACGTGGCCACATGAACTTCAAGGTCGTTGTGTATAACATCTACAATGCCTTTGGAAAGTTCGTTGGGTGTACAAAGGATGTGGAAACATAATACCCCATGGGCCCATGCACAATTCCAAAGAGAGTGCCAGGCTCTTTCTATGTTTCATTTTTGAGGCAACAGACATCATGATTATTAGTCCGTGCAGTTTTCAAAAGTATTCATTGTCCGATCTTATTTTCCAAAAAAAATAAAAATCATTAATCTTACAACACTCTAACTTCTGCACAAGTAAGGGAATTTAAATTTGGCGGAATTCGAACAGGTTGCAGTACATACATGTATACCTTTTAAACTAATTAATTCAATGCACCCAGGAATTAATGAATCGTTTTCAGGGGCAGACTCGAAATGAAATTCGGTCCAGACATTTTAGCGTGACCGATCTGATGTTCAATTCAATTCAACTCAGTTTATTCAGTTCCAATAACATATACAAAACAGAATACAATCGTGAAAGAATAACAGTATAAATCCATCAAGAGTACAAAATAAGGTAAAATGATAAAACAATAAAGTGATACATCAGACAACAACACAAGATGGAGCATTATTGGAATTGGGTGGCCATAATTTTATTCATAAAGGCTTTTTCTACTTCAAAAAGATTTACCCTCAAAGACGACAGGGAAACTGTCCACATTTTCCAAGTCAGTCTTTGATACTGTCTTAATCTGTAGAGGCGTCGTGGACTAGTGGATACGTTATCGGACTGTGGATCACATGGTTCGCGCTTCGAGTCCCCTCCCGGACTATTGTCCTTTGGTCAGACATTAATCTACAACTGCCACACTCCACCCAGGTGTTAAATGTGTAGGAAGGAATTCCTTGAATGATGTGCACACCAAAATCGGTGACCTAGCAAAGCCGGGGTAACATCATAACTTGTATACCCAATCGTACGAAACCTGACTTTTTATGTACTGTTAATACCTCTTCTCGTTGCAGATGCTGTATGAAACATAACCAGTGTTATGACGGACTTGTTCGTGAAGGTGTTTGTGCTGGTGATACCTTTGGTCAGAGTTATGGCTACAAGAAGATTACAGAGAATGGGGCAAAGACCATGACATGCAGTAAGTATAAACATCAATTATGCACTATATAGAACAAGTTTTGCTTAATTGTTTGTTGTTGTTTTAGTTTGTTTTCCTTTCTCAAATGGAAATGTAGAAAGATATTGGTTAATGCAAGTTACAGTTATAGTAATAGCCTAGGTGTTATAGGCTATACAATAGTATATGCTTAAAGAATTTGTGTTTATTGATGTGTATTAAGGTATAGGCCCACCTTGAGTTAATGGTTGTCGATAAAAGACTCGGATTTGATTTAGATATGCAACAGGTACAGCAATGATACAGATATATGATTCATTAAGCTAAAAGTTTAGGGGTGCTTATTATAAAAATGGCCTTTTCAAGGGATCATCAATAGATCAATGTTAGAACTCCTTGTTCAGAACATCATGTACATCGTAGAGGGGGTGATAACAAAATAACCATAGCTAGCTTGTCTCGACTATTCAGGACTCAAAGCACACAGAGCCTAGTGAATCTATGACGCGAGCATGCAGTGATGGTGTACTAGCTACATGTAAGAACCATGGTAACCATGGTTTTTTGTCCACTCTACCATCCACCATGGTAACCATGGTAGCTATGGTATCAAACAATGAAATTATCGAATTTGATTGTTTGATACCATGTTTACCATGGTGGATGGTAATGTGGATATTAATTTAAAAAAGCCATGGTTACCATGTTTCGTTTTTACAAGGGGTGGCTTCGGGAGGGCACAAGGGCTCCACACACAAGGAGCTTTTTTTTGTTGGGGGGGGGGGGGGAGGGGGGGTTAGCTTTGGGGCTTCTGCATGTGCATGCCACGAAAAACTGTGGAGGAGGGTGCTTGAAGAATTTGTTTAGGGTTTGAGTCCCCCCCCCCCCAACCCCTAGTATCTTTCGTTCATCTATTGTTCTTGTTATTTTTCTTTGATACAGCTTCCGATCCTCACACGGAGACGTGTAAATACGAGCTGTGTAAATGTGATGCTACGGTGGCCCATTGCTTTGCTGATAATGAACCACATTATAATTCCAAGCATAAGGGTGTGGGTAAATCATCATGTCAGCATGCAGGAAAGTAAAAAAAAGATTTTTTTTTAAAGACTCATGGAGAGAGTTTTATAGACCCAGAAAACATTGAATCAAATGTATCATGTACTAAGCTGAATTCTACTCTTGTAACTTATATATACATGTCATTGTACATTTAAACTGCAAGGATGTAATTCTTTTCTCTCCACCTGAATACAAATAATCTTTCTTTCAATGACCCGTTTATCTAGAATAGTTTGTTTGATTGTCCTTTATTAATACTTTCCTGTCGTTTCATGAAAATTTAAAACCCATAATAATAATAATAATAATATGTTAAAGTCCACTCCAAATTTTATTAAGTTAAACCGAAAATGAAAATTCTTTTTGCCCAATTAATCGTGTGCAAAACACTCATTGAATAAAAGTGTGTTTTATGGCGTTTTTATTTTGTTTAATTCCAAGCTAGTTTGTCCCATGCGTTACCATGGTTATAGACCTCATCTAAAATTGTCGTATATATGATGACTGCATCAGGATGATAGCTCTACTTGAGGCTTGAACAGGCAAAGTATCAAGTTAAATTATATTTTTGTATCAATTCGTGTTCACAATCCCATAATCCAATTCCGTTATACACTTGATAAAATATGGAACATACCTTGTACAGAATGTGCCAACTATGCAACCAGCTTATTAGGGTTCATGAAATGTCTACTATACGTGAACTACGCTTTCGAACCATGTCATCCACTGTGTGTGCTTTACGTTCATATCAATTAATCAATTTAAATAAATATATGCAATCATAATTATGATACAGATTTCTGAAAATCAGTGGAAAATTTATGTCAAAATCTCCTTACATTAATGTGGGGACACATTAATATTTCTCCGTGTTCTGATATTGGTTTAAATAAAAACTAAAATTGCCCGAAATATTTGTGATTCCCAATTATAATTATTATGACGTCAATTTTTCATGTAGCTTAGTATTGAGATTAATTATATTAATATTCTTCTGTAAATAGCGTTATTTAATGAAATATCATATTTGTTATTATCATCTGACAAATTACTTTGTCCAATCTTAAGATTAGATTGTGTATAATTATGTTTAATGAGGGATCCCATATACTGTAATGTACTTCATAATTAACTCAACTTTTATCGATTGGATTTAATTTCAAACAAGTCCGATAATGGATTATTTGCTTGCGTTCAGAGCATTTTAATATATATGATTTATAAACTTCTAGAAATGTTGAAATAGAGATTTTTAAGTGCCTGTGTGTAATTAAAATAACTGTGTCAAAAAGTAATAGTCATTACCGTACGATAGTGATGGAATGAGATAAAATTAAATACAATATCAAGTTAAAACAATTAAAGGGATAGAACATCAGAAGTAAATGAAAACAAAATACATTTAATAACAAATCGATTCAAAAAGTAAATGTAAGACTTGAAAGAACAGGGTGTCAAAATGTTTTCTATTCATTTACGTCTAGATTTCGATGGAAAACGGAGAAAACAGGAAAGTTAATAAAACATTGAAAATATAATATAATATATGGCTAATAAGTAGGCCTATAGGTACATACTATACCTTAAAATGCTGTGCCATAATAATACCGCTTAGCAATCAATGAAATATATATTTTGAATATAATTGATTTTATATCTATAAATTTGAGGTTTTAATCGCAAAACATTTTAATTGTGAGTTTTGTTATTTTGTTATGTGTGTCAAACGTTCGCTTAAAGGTAAAGACCAGTATTGGAAACGCCCCCCCCCCTCTCAAAAAATGAAATGGAAGCTCTCATTACCAATCATGTGAAAGAATATGTTTTGACTAATACATGATGATAAAAAATTTGCCGGGAAACCGCCTACTAATTCATATATTTGATAAATTTGTTTCTCTCATGGTCTGTGAGAGATATAGGGTAGTCCCATATACATCTTTCTGTGTATAGTGCTTGTAACTTTACGAAGAATGGGCCAAATTTCTTATCATTTTGATGATTCCAGAACCTTGCAGATGCTAGATGCTAGATGATCAACCTTTTCTGATCGATTCCACAACGTTTCTTTCACAATGCAATCGCATGACCATAACTGGTCTTTACCTTTAAAGTTTCATGTAAATGGCAGAAGTGTGTGTATACAGGAAGAAGGATAATAGAGGTGATTAAGAAGGAGAAAAGGGAGATGGAGAGAAAGTGAAAGAGTGGAACGACAGGAGAGAATGAGAGAGATTTGGAGAGAGACAGAGAGACACAGAGAGACAGAGAGTTACAGAAAGCAGGATAGACCAGGCACTTTAAAGGCTCACCTCCCTGGACAGACAAACAGAGAGAAGTAGAGAGAACAAATTAGAGAGAGCGAGAGAGGGGAAGAATGAATGAAAAAGAGAGAGACAGACATACAGACTGACAAAAAGTAAGAGAGAACGAGAGAGAGAGAGAGAGAGAGAGAGAGAGAGAGAGAGAGAGAGAGAGAGAGAGAGAGAATGTGCTATGTGGCTGTTTGTGTGGGTGGACAGATGGAAGGATTGTAGAGGGGGGATACATAATTAATGATTCATAAATTTATAAGTCATCAGGAAGAGGCTAAAGAAAGGAATTAGGGGCCGGAAGGGTTACATGTCGGGGTTCTTAGAGATTTCAGAGAAATGGAGACAGGAAGATCTTAGACGTAGTTTCGAATTGTTAAGTGCATAGTAAATGAAATATAGTATCTATTAAAAAAAATACACAAAATTTCGTTAAATTAATAACTTCCAATCATGCCTACGGTAGCACATTTTGCCGCCTAAATATTAGGATATTCGGACATTCCGTTGCCCGAAATCAAATGGGTTTTAGCCAGCAATGTCACTTATTATGGTAAAGTTGTATTTCGTCATCAAATTTCACTAGATAAGGGTCTCATAAATTTGGGCCCCTCACTGCCACATCAGAAGAAATTCAGTTACCTTGCAGCCCGAATAAGAGGATATTCATGCATCCTGCTACCCCAAACCATCCTATTTCTAAATTCTACGAGCGAGCAAAAACAGACAGTGCAATATATTTCAAATGTCATTTCCTCATCAACGTACACTAGAAATGATACAGAAATGATATATTCGAGTACAATGTTCAGGTGCCTCGATGCCTAAATATAAAATGGCGGTTTCTCGAATACTGGAACTTTAAAAAATCTTCGAGAGGGGGGGGGGGGGGGGGGGGTGGGGCTGCAGCACCACCAGCCCACCACACTCCCTCCTGTTACGCCTCTGTCAATTTACTTCACCTGAGTTGAGAGGGCTGAGAGGGTAGATTAATGTCATGCCACATTTTTCCATTAAACTCAACTTTAAAATTGCACCTTTGTATTATCCCAATTGAACTTCACTTTTCTACGGCTTTGATAGCTATTTTAGAATAACATTTTTTTTCCGTAATCGTTAGCATTATATCGCACATAATTGTATATCAATGTTATATAGAAAGCTGGTGAGTACTTAAAGGTAAAGACCAGTTATGGTCATGCGATTGCATTGTGAAAGAAACGTGGAATCGATCAGAAAAGGTTGATCATCTAGCATCTGCAAGGTTCTGGATTCATCAAAATGATAAGAAATTTGGCCCATTCTTCGTAAAGTTACAAGCACTATACACAGAAAGATGTATATGGGACTACCTTATATCTCTCACAGACCATGAGAGAAACAAATTTACCAAATATATGAATTAGTAGGCGGTTTCCCGGCAAATTTTTTATCATCATGTATTAGTCAAAACATATTCTTTTACATGATTGGTAATGAGAGCTTCCATTTCATTTTTTGAAATTGGGTGTTTCCAATACTGGTCTTTACCTTTAAAACTGAATTGGATCCATAATTGATATCAGGTTTGGCCAAATCTTCTCTCATGATGGAGCTAGATATTCAACGTTGACGTGATCTACACTAATTCACATTTCATCTTTAACAAATAATTCAAAAACATATATCATAAATAGATAAAAAAAAATATCTATCTATTTTTCGATGATTAAAATTTTCACACCTCTACCTTTTGTTAAACTTCAAATTTGCATATTTCCTAACTTTAATAACCTAAAGGGGAAACAAAAACTTTCTCGCTCTATGCTTTGTAAATTATATAACAATCGTAGTGTAATTCAATTATAATCATGTATGAAAATTAAAGCCCTTTTAAAGTATTGGGAGCCCTAAATTCGCCAAACATTTTTATGGCAAAATTCCACTTAAATTGTATCATAATGTGACACACTTCTGCAAAGATCCCCCCCCAAAAAAAAAAAAAAAAAAAAAAAAAATGTTTTTGAAGACAAATATTGATAAAAGTGGAATACACAATTACGGTTTTCTTTTGTACGCAGAAAACATAAATTTTGTATTCTTTCATCAATATTGGACTTCAAACACAATTGTTTTGAAAATCCTTGCAGAAATGTATCTTAAATGACATCATCTTTCACATTATGATATAATTTAAGTGCAATTTTGCCATCAACTTTTTTGGGGCTCCCAGCACTTAAGAGGGGCTTTAAGCAAAAAAAGAGACATAAAATAACGCGTTTATATCATGTATGTGGCGAATAAACACTAGTATATTGTTCTCATTGCAAAGAGCCCCCCCCCCTCTCCACCCTTCCTATTACAAAAAATGTATTTAAATTTAATTTACACTCCATGTAAAAATATTGGGTTTGAGAGTGAACTTATGAGGATAGTCAAAGTGCCTTACGTCATTAAACCTTAAACGTAAAAGAAATCTAAATTTGGACGAAAAAATCAAACCTCTCCCTAAAAATTGAACCCCTGAACGTCAGCATTTTCCCCTTACATTTCCGTATCAGCATTACAGCCTCTTGTTGCTTAGCAACGACCGACCAATCAAAGGTGACATCATGAGCCCCCTATGAGGAGACACTCATTCAATTAGCTACTTTCTAAACTGAACTTCTAATGAGTCAGTTTGGGGGTATTATAAATGAAGGTCTGTTGGTGATTCAAGACAGTCTTTCTGATTTCATGTTGTGAGTAAGAACAACTATCATGGCTTGTACAAAAAAATGGGCAGTGTTTGCTGTATTCGTGTCTGTCATTGTTGGTAAGTATATTATATTGAGTCTAAAGTATTCATACTCTATATAATTTCATGTTATAAGTGTATTGTTTCAGGTATTTAGCCTTTAATGTTTATAGCTTCATACATGTCTTCGTGTATTCGTTGACGTTCTCATATCTATTTTGTATTGGTTTATATAAGGCATGCTCGACACAAGCGAGACCTTTGCTTTTTAGGATTGATGCCTTCTTTCTTAGGTTGAAACTGTTAATGTGCTCTTAAAACTGTTTGTGAGTCATTACATATGCATACTTAAGTATTTTAAGATGACCACAACAACAATGGAAGAAAATGAATGTTGAAAATCGAAATTTGAACTAATATCATAAGTATTTTCAGCGTCTGTGAATAATTTGTAAAGCCCTTTATCATGTTTTTTTTTTTTGGTGTGGGGTATGATAATAATGTATATACATATATCAGGGCAGGTGGGGTGAGTATTCGTTAGGTGTTTTTGTTTCTTTTCTTTTTTTCATATTGGAATAAGAGTAATATTGATATGAGAATATTGTGATGCCTCGTTTTGCGACTTTTAATGGTAGTAATTGTGCATGTGATCATGATCATGATAGTATAATACAAATTGTTGTGTATAAATACATGTACGGATTTTAAAGAATAGTGTTGAGAAATAATCTTTGGATTAAATTCATTGCTCTAAGGTAAACCTAGTAAGTGCGGTAAGCAGTCATTATAGAGATTATTATTCCATTATCAACGATCTCTACTTATTATTTATCTACTCCCCCTTTCAGTGTTCAGTTGTAATAAGATTTCAACTTTCCGATTTAATTTGTTTTAAACGATTTGTGACAATCCAACTCGGCCAGTAGTATGTATATGGTGTTCAGTTTATATAATGTTTAGCATGATTCGAACTTTGCGGTATAAACATTTTAAAAGTTAAATGCAGATTTCAATTCTTTACTCAATTTGAAATGGAGCAATAATAATCATTCCCTAAAACCACAAATATGATGTTAAAGAAATAAAGTAACTCATTTCAATTTCCCAAAATATTCTGTTCATATTTATTTCACATTTGTGGTTACACAGTTTTGCTGTTAAAGAGGTATACAAAATATTTTAAAAACCAGGTTGAGTGATTAATTTTACGACAAGGATATTTCCGTCTAACTCTCATGCTGAGTGCTGATGACCAACCCAATGCCATAAATAGAGTTACTGAACTTCTCCTAATTGATGTTCTTGATTCACAGCAGTATATCATTTCAGTCATCTTTTAACTAGATTTAATCAACTGACACAAAATCTGTTATGGAATCTCATAATCAGATAACGGGGAAATTCAAATAATTTTGGTTGATGTAATTGCGATTTTTTTTTTTTTTTTATTTTTTTTATTTGATTTTATTTATTTTCCACTCAAATACCCACAAATTAAATGACATATATAAACCATACAGTAATACAATATATAATAGAACAAATGAATTATACAAGTAACGAAATACTGACAAGTATGTTCGTGATCAAGTTTACAGAGTACATTTAAGTTTGCTATTAGTCCTAAGAAGGAATTCGATGAGGATTTGTTGATGCCCAAGTTTGCATAATTATTGTCAATGCTTAAAATGTTTATTCAGTTACAGCATCTTTACAAAATACTTTTTGATTATTCTAAAGATATACCGCGGATTGGACTTATTGTTCTAAGAATGTTGATATAATCATTTTTTTAACGAAATGAAAGAACCATCTCCTCTATTCACTCTGCATTCAAGGACAATTGAAAACAGAAGCACGCTTCTTTTAGGGGGATCTGTTATATTTGTAATCTTAATGCCAAACTTCTTCAGAGGAGTATGAAAGTTTCCTTTTTCTCTGCTTGTAGTGGATATTCATTACCAAAGTTACATTAAACATTCAGATAAAGTATATTTTTAGTTTCTTGGATCCTTCAAGGTAAATGTTGTTAGGATGCCAAACGAATAGAGGCCACAGGGGCCTGGATAGGGGTAATGATTAACTTCCGTGTATTGTTATGAAACAGATGTTACTTTACATGAGTTTAATTTTACAAGCTGTCTTAAAATACAATGAACTTCGTTTGATTAATCACCAGGTTGTATATCTGCTGTGAATATTCAAAGAGAGTCTCAGGGATAGGCTATTACCAAGGACATGCCATGCTATCTATAACTCATCACAATGAATTAAATTAAGTTGGCTCGCCATCTTACACTAAGAGGGGGTGCTATGGGGTCACGTTATGCTCCAACTTTACAAAAAGAACGACTATATTGCAAACCAAATGAATGTTGAATAGTTAGATATCATAGATATTTAATACCGTGATTTAGAATAAATGTAAATTGAGAGTTCACTTAATTTTGATTTGATGATCAAAATAAGTTTGTTAAAACAAGCGCATAGTCTTTATTTAGACCGAGGTTAGGTATGTTGTGTTTTTTTTTTTTTTTTTTTTTTTTTTTTTACAGAGATGTAGTCTGACGCCATGTTGCATAAGAACAATGGATTTTAAAATATTCAAACTATACACTGACTTGTTTAGATGAGCGATAATGGCGAGTTTAAATTTGTGTTGAATGATCTAAGTTGAAGTTGTACCGAGGATATCAATTATACATGCACATAAGAGACCGTTTTGAATTACTCTTTCAAAGCCGATCATAAAGATAATAATTCATAAAATTTGATTTTGAAACACTCGTTGTGTTGAAAATGGTTAAAAAGAAATTGGATACGTGGATAGATCTAACAGACAGATGAGATAGCATGTGTCTGATTAGTCAGATAGTCGAGGTAGATTGGTCATCCCATGCGGGGTTGTCTTATGAAACCATGACGAGGCCATTTATAAAGCTGACAAGAGCAAAAATAACGAACCATTCGATACGTTGGATATATGAATATGATGTACATGCACCATAAAGGGGAGATAAGTAGATGAGAAAATAGAAGGAACGGGTAAAATAAACTGTATTTTTCAAATAGGCCCGTTTTAAGAGTGTGCAGGCTAATAACACAATTAAAAAGGACGATTCAACCTTTGCAACAAGTTGAGGGATCTTAACGCATAAATAGCAGAGACTTAAATTGATAAACATATACAAAAAGTTGGATAGATACGAAAGAAAGTTCTGAAAGTTTGAAAAATGATTAGACGTATTACGGAAAATATCAAATTGGGAAATTGGTCATTCAAATGTGGCGTGTTATTTATAGGGAATTTTGTTTTCGACAAAAAAATCAATTCAATTTCTCTACGAGGAATTACCTCGGGGCTGTATTAAAAACCATAGGCGCCGGAAGTGGGGGGGGGGGGGGGGGCAAAACGCATTTTGGCCCCCCCCCCAAAAAAAGCAATAAAAGAGTAAAGATGGTTTGTATTTTTAACCCAAAAGGACATGACAATAATAAAAACCTGAATAAAATGACATATAAAATTCCATTGAAAGAGAAGGAAAGTTAGCAGGAATTAAATTTCCTAAACATTGCGCATGCTCAATGGACGTTTTTATAATAGCGATACGCGCATATCGTGGACATTATTGTGAGAGAATGGGAAAGCATGTCTGTTTTGTTATAGGGGTAAGAATACATGAGCTCCTGGACGCTGGTCTACTGATGGGGGGGGGGGGGGGGTTATTTCTTATTCGATATCAGTGATTTACAAATGTTGCTGAAATGACATGATTTTCCGGTATTTTTTCTCAATTTTTGTGTAAGTCATACCTTTTTATGCGTTTGTTGGAAAATTAGACAATCCCAAATGTACAGTCGGACGAAAAAATATGCTTATTTAGAAGCCTTTATGTCATGGTCTGCAAAAATGCTGGGCTCGGGGGCTCGAGCCCCCCTTAATTTTTGAAAAAAAGTATGGTACAGAGAAAAAGAAAGAAAGAGAGAGAGAAAAAATAAGTGACCTGCCAATGTCACAAATGAGGTATCAAAATATGCTCATCTGACCGTAATTAAATGCCTCAAACACCCGAGCTTCCGGGGGCTCTGTCCTCTGGACCTCACCAAGGGCCCTAAGGCGGCCCCTGGATGCTCATCTGACAGTAGTTAAATATTGAAACCTTTGAGCTTCCGGGGGGCTCTGTCCCCTGGATCACATCAATAGCCTTAAAGAAGGCCCCTGGATGCTGATCTAACCGTAATTAAATACCTGAAATCCTTGAGCTTCCGGGGGGGGGGGGGGGCTCTGCTCCCTCGATTCTCTGCCAATTAGTGACCTGCCAGTGTCACAAATAAGGTATCTAAATATGCTCATCTGACCGTAATTTAATACCTAGAAACCCTGGGCTTCCGGGGGCTCAGCCCCTTGACCCCCTGCCGAGGCTCATGCTCTGGACCCCACGCCAATTTACGCTCTACCTGATCGTTATTACTTCACTTTGAAAAATGTTCCGCGGGGCCTGCATTTAACGTATAAGAGTGGTGGTGATGCAGATTTTTCTTCTGCCCCCCCTTCTAAACGTTTTTGCTCATTACGTCACTGCCCCTGGAAGGTGAGCCCCCTGAAATGTTCCCCCCCCCTCTAACTGCTTCCGACGCGCCTGTTAAAAACGACATGTTATTATAAATATTCTGCTCAGCAGTGAAAGTTTTAAAAACTTATTACTATTTCACGCACTTTGTATGTTGGAGCAAATTGAATTAGAGTCGTTTGAGATTACATCACAGTGACGCTTTTAAGTACTTCATCAGTGCGATATTTCATTTTGTTTATCCAAATAAATCGATTTTATTCAAACTCTCACCAATCTCTTTCTTCTTTTTTGTTGTTGGTTATACATGAGCATTATGTAACTTCAGAAATGTTCACAAGCAAATATCAAGATTGGTATAACTGTGATTTTCAAACTTTCAATTTACAAAATATTTGATTATGAAAGAAACTCGTTAATTAATAAAAGGAAATCTAGATACACCCCACCCCCCCCCCCCATAAGGGCAGACGTCAAGGCCATCGCCCAATTGTATAGTAAAGAGATGTTACTATTTATTATCAGACAGTTCACAGAGTGTGTTGTGAGGTAGAGAGAGAGAGAGGGGGGGGGGAGGGGGAGAGTGAGAGACAGACAAACAGACAGACAGAGAGAGAGAGAGAGAGAGAGAGAGAGAGAGAGAGAGGGGGGGGGGGGTGGGGTGGAGATCGAAGCGATGAGACATCAAGGGACGAGGTTGAGAGACCGAGAGACAAATAAGGGTGAATATGAATCTTAGCACATAATTATGAGACACATTCTCGCGTTATAATCCTATTAATGAAATATTACGTAATCCCAGGAAGTTATCACATTTCCTCTTGGCAGCCTACTATACACTGGAAACTGTATGACAGTCACAGTGAGTCAACCGTATGATGGGGCAAGCGCCCCCCCCCCCCACCATGCACACCCTCTCTCTCTCTCTCTCTCTCTCTCTCTCTCTCTCTCTCTCTCTCTCTCTCTCTATCTCTATCTATCTGTCTTCTTCTCCCTCTCTCTCTCCTCCTCTATCCCCCTCTCCCTCTCCCTGTCTCTCTGTCTCTCTCCCTCTCTCTCTCTCTCTCTCTCTCTCTCTCTCTCTCTCTCTCCCTATCTATCTTTCTCCCCCTCCCCTCACTCTGTCTGTCCTCACCCTCCATCCCTCCTTCCTTTCTTTCCCCTCTCTCTCTCTCTCTCTCTCTCTCTCTCTCTCTCTCTCTCTCAGGGTGATTTCCAAATCCCAGTTTTTGCTATAGCTTGTGGAGCCCCTTGTGCCAAAATATTACACTCATTTAATTATCATTCTTAACTTCTTAAGTCAGAAATCTCAATCAATTAAAACTTTTGTTTTCTTTCTTTCTACAGTGGTTGCCATAGTGGTACCAATAGCAGTCTTTAGAAATGCTGGCCAAACGAAGGGTAAGTTAAAGAAAGACTCACGAGTTTTGGATTTCCTGGACATACTTATGTCATCCCAAGGGGGTATTTATTTTACTTATTTTAGTTGTGTATAAATGTATATATATTTACTTATCTATATATTTATTTATTCATTTATTCATTTATTCATTTATTCATTTATTCATTTATTCATTTATTCATTTATTTATCGATTAATTAATACATTCGTTTATTCATTTTCTTTTTTTAAAAGAAACATATCTATCTATCTATATATCTATCTAAGCTCGGATATCATTCATGAACGCGCAAACCCACAGAAATATATAGTTGCTCATACTTTCTTATCTGTCTCCTTATTCACCATGGTAACAGGCAACTCGCTAGAGGGCGGCTCTATGGCACCAAATGAGATGTTTCTACAGTTTGCCGCTATGATACAATGCACAACCAAGAAAAATCCAATTCAATACCAAGGATATGGATGTCATTGTGGGTTCCTCAACGGTGGTAGCGCTAAACCAGTTGATGCTACTGATCAGTAAGTTATAAAACGCACAGATCCGGGTCCTGTTTCACAAAACTTGTCATCAGTGACAAATGACAGTTTTCGTTATAAGCTAGTGAAATCCTTGCTTCTGATTGGTTATCTGAGAACGGAGGGGCGTTTCACAAAGCCTTTTTAAAATGAAAAACGACAAAAATCAGTGAAAAATCTGCTGATAACCAATTAGAAGCAAGACTTCCACTAGCTTATAACAAAAACTGTCATTTGTCACTGATGACAAGTTTTGTGAAACACCCCCTGACTTCATATAAATAACGAATGCTAAAATTCTGTGACAATTTTGCTCTCAGTCAATCGAATGCAATGATTTCAGAAGATAATAAAGGTTATTGTAATTTGTTATTGGTAACCAGTTTTATGAAACAGGCCCCTGACTCTAATTTCCCTAGTACAAGCCTGCCAAGTATTAAATGTCTTTATCTTCGCCAGCAACAATCGGACAATCATACACAATTATCTTATTTCTATTAAGTATAACTATATACAAATAATAGAATAATTGATTTGATTCGATTTGATTTATTTATTTCTGTTTGATTTTCTTTTTCTTTTGCATTTTTACAAATATATAACAAACAAATATTGCAAATTTACACATGACAAAAGAATATATGTAGAATAAGGTAAGGCTGGGTGTAACTAATCGAGAACATCAAACAGGAGGGTTGACAAAATAAGCAAAGCATGATAGTATGACTACCCTCAAAGGATACATAATATTCCAATATTTTGTTCCTCCATATTTGTATTATTATAATACAAATATGGAGGAACAAAATATTGGTAAAAAGGGGGAAAAGACAGAAAAAAGAAGAGAAAAGAAAGAGGGGATGTACATCAATATTCACAGACTTATGTGGTAGTTGGATTTCAAATTGATATATAAAGATTTTAAATAAGAAAAGAAATGCAAATTTGAATACTGAGTGGCCAACTTGGGATACAAAAGAATGAGAAGACTCTCAAGGTTCGGACAGTAAGAATGTGAAAGTAAGATCAGCCAGCTGGTTTTAAACCTGGGCCTGCGAGTCAGAGCCTTGAAATGTTTGTATAGAAGACAGTGTTTATTCAGTATCCCAAGAAGGCCACTCTTTATTCATACGTGTATTCATACCAGGTCATGGAAGGTTATAATCAACGTTTCAATAAATGGAAGCAAAAAAAGTAAACAGTACAGAAAATTATCGAGTTTTGTAACGATGGGTAAACGAGGAGAATTTATTTTGTTGATGGATTTAAAGATAATGAGCAATAAGAAACTTTAACTTTAACTTTAATCTAGTCTACTATGTTTGAAAGAGGTTTTAATAATGTTTTCCATAATAAGAAGATAAAGAAAGGAAAGCTTCTCATTCAAAATATAATATTTGACAACTGTCATAGTTTTCAAGAAGTTTATTGTTTGTGATGAATGACTTTTATGTTTTGGAAACAATGATTTGAATAAATGTTTATGTGCGCAAAAGATATTAATATGCTTTGTCAAATTCCATTTCGTACAATAACCTGCATTACTAGAAAAACAATATTTTTTTTAGTCCTTATAAGCAAATTTGTTTGATGCAATTTCAGAAATTGCATTCATAAGAAATATGGTTTTCCAAAAAAAAAAAAATCACGACTCATAAATGTTAGAGGACGTATATATGATGCCGTAGATGCCGTAGAATGTGACATAGTCGAGTGGTACTAAACACTTGACAGGAGATACAAAGGTCATGGGTCGAAGCCCCGTTGCGCCACCAGTGTCCTTTACCAAGACATTAATCTACCATTGCCACTCTCCATCCAGGCATGGGTACCGTTAGCAAAGAATTCCCTGAATGATATGAGTCTGTATCGTAGCCACTATATACAGTTAGAGGCGAGATCATTAAATCGCCTCAAGTAGGCTCTAAGTAAATTATAGCAGTATGAAATACGCTGCGATGTTATCAAAAATGATTATATTGTGAAAGGGCTGATTTGTTTTAAAAACTGTAGAATAATATCATCCTCAAGGTAAACGTTGACGCTATTTTGTGTATACCTGCAGATGCTGTATGGATCATGATAGATGTCTAAAAGAACTGGAAACAACTGGAGTATGTACCAAACATGCTTTCATTACCACTTACGCAGTCGAGATGAAAGGATGTGGAAAGAAAAAGGCAGCAAACATAACATGCAGTAAGTACTATTAAGATTCGGCTTATGAGTTCATTTGCCTTTTATTTATTTATTTATTTATTCATGATTTATTTCAACAGGGTAGTTTCATTCAATTCCACTTGAACTTTGAAGCCAATGGACTTGCTTTTTAAGAAAGCCCTGCTGAATTTGTCTCTTATCCTCAGGCGAGGTTTTTATTTTCATAATTTCAATACAATATTACATTAATAACTCAATGAATGAGTGAAACATAACATAGGCTAATAAGTAAAATATATACAACAATTCTTCCAGCCCTGCCGAAAACATAACAGTAAAAACATAAATATAATAATACAATCCTTAACAATTGCATACGTACATGTGAAATATCAAAATAAATATACATCTTTTAAAAATAACACTTATTGAATTATACAATATTTATTGTCATTTTAATTTAAAAAAAAAAAAAAAAACCACGCCTAAAACCATGCCTCCATTTTGAATAATCTTATACTAGTGAAAGGGGCTTGCGCCCCACCGCCCCCTGGTTCCACCGATGTAGGCCTATTGTACTGTCCTATTTGATTGTTATTTTTAATTTCTGAATAAATTACCATTATTATTGTCAATGATAAAGAAATAAAGGTGAATTTAAATTTCAAAATTCCTTTACAGAACCTCAAGCCGATTACAGTCCTTTGGAGGCGACGTTTGCTTTTGGTAAGGTCGACTGCGCTGAGTCATTGTGTCGATGTGATAGAGAAGCCGCCGTCTGCTTCAGTCAGAATCCATTCCAGAACCGCTACAAGATGGGTAGGAAACGTAAATCGGCTTGTAAGGCTGGACCAGAGACAGGACCAGGAACAGGAACAGCAACAGGAACAGGAACAGGAACAGGAACAGGACCAACGGCTGGTCTACCAACCAGTACGGATAAACCAATGTTACAGACGACTGTATTTCAACCACCAGTACAAGAGACTGGGAGACCAGCTCCCATCTACCGTATACAGGGGCGGATCTAGCTTTTTGACAAGGGAGAGGGGGGGGGGGGGGGGGGGGGGGGGGGTTGACCCAGTGGCGGATCCAGGATTTTCTAAAAATCGCGCCGTTTTACTTCTTTCTTCTTCTATTTCCCCCTCCCCCCCCCCTTTTTTTTCCTTCCCTTGGCCCCTGCGCATAGCATAGAATAACTTTCATATAACATGCATATAATATATGTTCATTGTATGAAATGAAAGGACCTAGTTTCATTTGGTCATTTATATCAATATCTTTGCCTAGTTTCATTTGGTCATTTATATCAATACCTTTGCCTAGTTTCTTTGAAAAGATATACATGTATATACAGGATATATGTCTTTCATTGATAATATTATTCAGAATTCAATGGAATTAATGTTCATTAGCAGAAAACACACAGCGGCGGAGGGAGGGCCAAATTTAAGAACCCTCATTTGAGTAATTTTCAGATAGTTTTGAGAAGAAAAAAATAGTATTTTAAGCAAAACTCATTTATTGGTTACATTGTCATCATAATGGAAATGGACAAGTATTAAAACATAATAAAGTGAACGATCTAGAGTAAACAATAAATGTATATTCTTATTCGCTTGTTTCAGTTGTCAATAAACAAATTTATACGAGAAAAGGAGTATTTAATGAAGTTATTCAGTGTATTACATGTTACTGCAAGATATCTTACCCGAGATGAATATAAACAGTGTTTATGGAAATAAACCTCATGACGATGATGATGATTCTGAATCTGATGACGATGATAGTGATGATGGTGGTGATGATGATGATGAAGTTGATGATCGAATGATGCTAATGATGATGATAATGATGATGGTGATGATAATGACGATTATGGTGATAATGATGATGATGATGATGATGATGATGATGAGGATGATGATAATGATGATGATAACGATGATGATGACGATGATAGTGATGACCAAGATGATGATCGAATGATGCTTATGATGATGATAATGATGATGGTGAAGATGATGATGATGATGATAATGATAATGATGATGGTGACGATGACGACAATTATGATGATGGTGATGATGAAGATCGATGGTGATCGAATGATAATGATTATGGTGATGACAATGATGAAAAAGATGATGGCGATGATGATGACGACTATTATGATAATGATGGTGATGATGATGATTTGATTATGATGATGATAATGATGATGATGATGACGACGATAATATTGCGCCCGTCTATCTAGTAAACTTATTCCGAGGCAGAAATAAAGGTCCCACATTGGCACTGGTCATTGTGGGAGGATAAGTCTATATACTCTACCCCCCCCCCCCCCGCGCTTTCTCCTCACACCCCCTCTCTCTCCCTCTCTCTCTCTCTCTTTCTCTGTATTTCTCTCTCTCTCTCTCTCTCTCTCTCTCTCTCTCTCCCTATCTTCTTTTTATTTGTTTAAATAATTTAATTGGAGAGACATGTGCCCCCATTGTAATCCACTGCATCGTTCAGTCAGACCTTATGAAATAGAAATGCATGCACAAGCCTGTCTCAAACTTGAACTAATCGCCAAATGAAACAAAAAGTCCATGATTAAAGTGTTTAAAGACCGTCAATACTACTGGGCCAGAAGGGATTAGACCAGACAGCAAGGTCACTGACAGGTGGCTATCTCATTAACTCAGCTCTCAACTAACATAAGAAAAAGAGGATCATGGGGGACCAACAGGCACCGATTGGGGAAGTTTTCTATATAGAGGGAGCAAGTAGCTACAAGTAGGACAGTGGGGCTTAAAACATAGAAATCACGGTTTCATGACCCCCTACTTTATAACTGCAATGTAACAACAAATAAGAGCACTTTCTGGAGAAAAAAAGGAACCTTCAAAGGGAAATCCTCAACGCAAAAATATTATTGGTATATTATATAACCCTATTATTGTGATTACATTATCAGGGATGATATCAATATTTGTTTCTCTTTTTAAATCATATAAGATATTGCTTAAGCATCATACTTTGCATTTGGGTATGATAGTCTGAAAATTCATTTGCGAGCGAGGAAAATTTTGTGAGGATTTGTGAGATCGCAGTGCGAAAAATTACATCTTATAAAGAGGGAAAACCAAATCCTAATGGGGTTATAAGCACATTCTCATAACGGAAGACTAAAAAAGACCTTTGATAAGTTACATAACATCTAGGCTATAACTACGAGCAAGCGTAGCGAGCGATCTTGGGGGTTGGGGGGTGGGGGGGGGGGGGACTCTAGTCGCATGAAATTAGGGGCACATTTAATGATGAGAGGAAAAGGGGACACTTATCGAAAGGGTTAAGACACTTATTAGAAAAGAAAAGGACCACGTGTGAAAGTACAAAGGCTTTTTATCAGAGTTGAAACGACGAAAAGGGATTTTATAAGAATGGGAAATGGGCATTTGTCGACGGAAAAGAGGCACTCATCAGATTTTGATAGGGACACTTATAGGAAGTGAAAAGGGGCATTTATGAAAAAGGGATAGGTTCCTTATAAGAAAGGAAAAAAGGGCACCGATCAGATTTTAATAGGGGCATTTATCGGAGGTGAAATAGGGAGCTTTTTATGAGAATGGGGTAGTGGCTCTTATTAAAAAGAAACGGGGCACTAATCAAAGATGAAAAGGGGTAAGTATGAGAAGGGGAAGGGGCACTTATACGAAGGAAAAGGAGCATTTATTGGAAGGGAGAATGGGGGATGTGTCAAAATAAAAGGGGCATTTATATAAGATGACAAGAGCACTTATAAGGTGGGGAAGGGGCACTTCTTGTACCTGAAAAGGGGAACTTACTAGAGATTTTAAAAAGGTATTTATATCAATGGAAAATGGACACTTATTGCAAAGGAAAATGTGAACTTGTTTAAGGATATAAAAAATAAAAGGGGCACTTATCAGAGGTGGAAAGGGGAAGGGGCATTTTTAAACATTAATAGGGGCACTTGTCAAAGTAAAAGGGGCACTTCTTACAAAGTTAAAGGGGTACTTTGGGGTACTTGAAAAAGTTGGGGTACTGTGCCGCCTCTGTAATGGCCCATATATATAATAATATCAAGTTAGGTACATGTATTGTTTTTATTTTAGAGTTTGCTCACGCCCATTTATTGTAGTGTAGCCTTTAATCGAGGAGTTAGGAGAGGTTCAATCTTCTATATTTGAAGATAAAAAATGAAGGTGGGGCATATTATCAGGCATTTATTTTGTTAGTTCACTCTGATATGAATTAAAAAAAAACTTGATTAGTATTTTCTTATTCACTCTAATAATACTCTGGGGATCTTGTTAAATTGCCAACTAACATAACATCTAAATTAGCAGAGTATTCTATGGAGTCTACATGTTTTAGCTTGCACGGTAGCATATATTGGCACGAGCTTTAGTGGAGTCATGAATATTCATTAGTCCCTACGTCACAGACGTGCGGCGTGCGTAGTGTGTCATATACACATGTACTAGTACACGAGTACGTTTGTAAGTATTAGAATATTATACGTTGCTCCGGAATGAAGAGAATCGCTATAAAGGACGAATTACTCCGTGAAGCCAAGTACGAACAGAGAATTGAAAGCAACTACACTCCCTAATCTGGCTAGTTTTGTAATAACAAATAGGTATTTTTTTCATAATAGTTTACTCTTTCGTGGCTTCATACTAAGGAACTTTCAAAAAGATGATTTGTAGAAAAAAGAAAACTGAAGAAAAGAAAACATGTGCACCCAGCAGTTCAATGCAGTTCCTACCTATAGGCCTACCTAAACCCACCTATACTTGCATGTTGCTTAAATAGTTGACAGCCACAATATTTAGTAAAATAATAGGCGTTTCATGTATTTTAATATGGTAAGTTGCTCGATATGATTTGATTCGATATGTATCTCATTAATGAAACCATCTCAAGGCTATAAGTCTCAAACATATCTTCACCATTAAACCGAGTGCCAGCAGCATTAAACCATGCATGCCCCCAAATTTAGTGATCTTCTTTTGGATATCGAAGTACCGAGGTTTCACTGGTTTATATTTAGCAAAATGAAAATTGTAATACTATAATGTTCGAGTACATCACTTTGTATATGATTTGATCCGAGATATATCTCATTAATGAAACCACGCAAAGGCATGCTAGTTTCAAACAAACCATCACCATTAAACCGAGGGCCAACACCATTAAACCATGCGCCAAATTTGGTAATCTTCTTTTGTGCATCGAAAGACCGAGGTTTCACGGGTTTATTAGGAAAATGGAAATTTAATACTAGTAAATGCTTGATATTAAACATCGGTCAGTCTATAATTTGATCCGAGATAATGTCTCATAAATGAAACCATCTAAATAGTCTCAAACAAACCATCACCATTAAACCGAGTGCCAACACCATTAAACCATGCGCCAAATTTAGTAATCTTCTTTTGTGCATCGAAAGACCGAGGTTTCCCGGGTTTAATTAGGGAATTGGAAATTTGATACTATAATGTCCGATTACATCACTCAGTATTTGATTTGATCATAATTTATATATATCTCATTAATAAAACCATCTAAAGGCTATTATAGTCTCAAGCAAACCATCACCATTAAACCGAGGGCCAACACCATTAAACCATGCGCCAAATTTTGTAATCTTCTTTTGTGTATCGAAAGACCGAGGTTTCCGGGTTTATTTAGGGAATTGGAAATTTGATACTGGTAAGATGCTCGATAACATCACTAAGTCTGATTTGATTAGATATGTATCTCATTAATGAAACCATGCAAAGGCATTCTGGTCTCAAACAAACCAACACCATTAAACCGAGTGCCAACACCATTAAACCATGTGCCAAATTTAGTAATCTTCTTTTGTGTGTCGACAGACGAGGATTCACGGGTTATTTAGAAAAATGGAAATTTTATACTAGTAAAATGCTTGATATAAAACATCGGTCAGTCTATAATTTGATCCGAGATAATGTCTCATAAATGAAACAATCTAAACAGGGGCGTCGCCAAGGGGGGGGGGGGGGTGTGGGGGTGCTACACCCCCCCCCACCTGTCAGGATATTGTCGGTAAAATTGCGCTGCCGTCGGGAAAAAGAGAAAAGGGGGGAGGGAAAAAAAGAGAGGGAAAAAAAAGAGAGGGAAAAAAAAAAGAGGGAAAAAAAGAAAGGGAAAAAAGAGAGGGGAAGGGAAAGAAAAGAAAAAAGAAAAGGAAAAGAAAAGAAAGAAAGGAAAAGAAAGGAAAGAAAGGAAAAGAAAGGAAAGGAAAGAAAAGAGAAGAAAGAAAGAGAAAAAGAAAAAGAGGGGGAAAGGAAAGAAAGGAAAAGAAAGAAAAGAAAGAAAAGGAAAAAAAAAGAAG